TAAGTAAATCAATGATTACATCAAGGGACGGATCCAGGAATAGTTTTTTCTTTAATGTTGCATTTTTAAATTTTTTTGTTTAATTTATGGATCTTGATGAAAATAAAAATCAGTCGTATTGGGGGCTGATTTATGAGTGTGTGCAATTTGGTGCAGATCCAAATAAAAATCTGAATCTACTGAATCTGAATTGACTGTTGGGCCTTGTTGGAAGTATCTTGTCAACTGAGTCCCATTCTCGTTGATAATTAGAATTATATCTAATATTATTGTAATCTTTGGAAAAATGTGAATCATTGAAAGAATAGGGTACGCTTAAACAATGAAAATGGGGCTAATGGTTTTAATCCTGGTGAGAAAATAATAAAGAAGCTGAAGGCAAAATGCATTGTTTGATCTTAATTAATAGTCACAGTGAGGTCATTTCAGTGTGCTGTGGTTAATTGTAATTTTCTGTGACCAACCACCACCACCTGATCGCTCTAACACTGGCTGTGCACGGGGACTTCTGCTCATTATTCCCTCTTTAATGAGGGATTTCCTGCACTTAACATGTTTTCAACCATGACATTTTTGACGGAATATGAAAAGTTTTTTGATTGTTGTGATCATCTTTTTATTGTTTTGGATTGCAATGACTTCTTTTTCAATAATGATTTTTTTTTTTTTTTGCTATACAGCAACTGCCCTGTTCTGATTCCAGACATTTTTTCCCTATGGCTTGATTACGAAAGATGCCATTTAAATAATAATAATCCCACACTAATATGAGCCACAACACAACGTCCTGTGATGGATCACTTGCTAATTCCCACGAGGGGACAGTATAACACGGCATGAATTACTATAGAGCTGCCAAGGGGCATTTGCTTCCTCTTATTTCATTGGCAATCACTCGTCTGTTGCTGTTTTATCACATACTTAAACACACACGGAATCTTTTCCCACAAATCATGCACTTCTGTCATCTCTGGGAGTAATTACAACAGTCAGAGCAACATATGGAAGGTTAAAGAACACAGTTTACCCGCAATCTTGATGTTCTCAAAGCAATGAAACCCATATATTGGTTCAAACAAAGGGAGAGAATCTTCAGTGGGTTTTTTGTTCATGGTCTGTCAGAATAGCCTTAAGGCTGTCCCAAATATTTAATGCAAGGTTTATGGCTGCTTTTAGAAATATTATCAGGTAGTTAACCTTGCCTGACAGCCTGACCCCTGGCTGCAACTCTGGGAAATGAACCACTGAATTTCTGGTCAATAGGATAATTATGTCAGAGAAGGTCAAACTGAAGTGATTTACATAAAAAACAAATACAGTCAGACACTGAATGGTATATTCTAGCTTTTACTGTGGATACATGGATATTAGAAGGTTGAATCATGTCAATACATGCAGCTGAACAGTAGCTCATTAAATTGAAATGTACTGTAAAAGTACATGAATGTACTCCACAAGGAATATTTACTTTTGACCTCTTTACCCCCCTCTACATTTAATGTCTCAGTGCACTTACTTCATCCCCTTCATCAGCTGCTTCATAAATTACTGGTTACCTTTAAAAATAAAATAAAAAAACATATGAGCAATCAATAAAATACCTCGCCTTGATACCCACCTACATACAGAAAGTATATTTACTCATGTATTGTTCTTTGTCATTTTGAGGTATTTGTACCATTTCTGAGTATTTTAATTTGATGCCAAGTTGTACTTTTCACTGCTTTACAGGTTTTGGAAAGTTGCCATGAGATTCATAAATACAATGCATTGTCATACAGAAAAGGAATCAACCCAGTGATATAAAGAAAAACCTTGAATCCGCTTCTCCTCAGCCAACTCTTACATTTGAATTTAAAAGTTAATGCACTGGAAACATTATTGAGGAATATATTTTTATAATAATACATTTCTCTCAGAGGGTAATTGTCCTGAATACAGTGGGTACTTATATATACATTTCACAGCTCAGCCCACGCACTTTTTGCACTTTTACTGAAGTTCTGAATTTAAGACTTGTGCTGGTAATGGAGCATTTTTATACGCTGCTAAACGAAATAACTAAATGATTGAATTGCGTGTATGAGGCAGCTTTTGATGGGTTGCAACAGGATAGGAAAAGCAGGCAATTGCCTTGGGCTCCGACCTGAGAGGGCTGATGACACAGGAATTTAGTGAGAACTTTAAATTCTGTGATCAGCTGTGCAACGACACAGATCGGAACCCCACCATTGGGGCCCCCTGTCACTAACCTTCTGCCAAAGCTTCATAAATTTAAAATATTCCTTTTTTGAAGGGGGTTTGGTTGGTTTGATGTAGGGCCCCCAGGTCCATTTTGCCCAAGGCCCCCAAAGTCATTTAAAACTACCCTGGTCTCAGGAACAATGATATAGGCTATTAATGCAATAAGTAAGAATGTAACCATAGGGATCGTTCAATCAGTAGCTTCTTATAAAACACAATTTGTTTATAATACTACTCTAGTTTTACTTGTGGATCCACATGCTACTTGTATATTCTGAGTACTTCTTCCACTACTGCTCATAAATGTTTTACAGGCTGATCCCTCCAGTATCAACACTCAGATGAATGAAATAATCTGACAGGACATTTGGAAAGCAGTGGTCCAGTTTAGCTGAGATAATGGCTGCTTAATTGGCAGAAGGACACAAATCAGTGGCCATATGCTCACAGACTGCAGCACAGGCGTTTATTAGTTAAAATGACATTTTCCAGACTTTCCTATATTTTCTACTGGCAGGAGCTCCAAGGCAATGCTGTGGAATGACACCATTACGATGAGCACATCGTCATCTGAAGAAAACATGGCCTGGCTGTGGCTGAAAATGTGAATTGAAAAAAAAGGGGAAGCAAGGAGAGAAGAGAGTATGGTCATTTAGACATTTCTGGTCAATTTAGGCATGCACACACACACACACACACACACA